TCAGGAACAGCAGGAAGTGGGAACTCTGGCACTACCCATGACCCTTTGACTCCCTCCTGGCGTGCACATATGCCAGGGGCTGAGAAAGAAGGAGATTTCCCATGGAAAAGAAGGCTGCTGACATTTTAACAACCACATTTGGCAAGTCATTGACCAGCCAAGGCCATAGGTCAGATTCCCAGCTCTGACATTACGATTCATGCAAAATGAAAATCCTCATGGTGATAGTGAATACCTCAAGCCTCTCATTACTGTCTGGGGTAGCTAAGATGAATCAGCAATCTAAATGTCCCCAAAGTTCTTGTGCATGAAATGGTAGCTCTCTCTCTCTCTCTCACACACACACACACACACACACACACACACACACACACACACCAGTAGTCTCCTTCTTAGCAAGGCAAAGGGCCTACACCTACTTGTCTTCACTGATGGCCAATGGGAAGTTACCCAATTAGATTTCTACAAGCAGCTCCCAATTTCCACCTTCATAATTGAGCTACATCTCCCCAATATTCCCTGAGTTCAAGGTCTGCATCAGTGTCCCCACCAACCCTCCACAAAACTACTAATCTGTGTTGTTTTTCTCAATGTGCCTGCTTAAAACCCTTCAGTAGGTTTGCAATTCTTTTTTACCAGAGTCCTCAGCTTGCCAACACAATCAACCCCTCATCTTTGTCTGCTTCTCCATTCATCTCAAGAAGTATTTGCTTCTCAGTCCATTCTCCATTTACGTCTTGTTAAACTAAGCCCCATGTAATTCTCCAAAACTCCTCTGCTCATTTCCAAACCCAAGTTAATTTCTTAGCACAACAAAAATGCTCAAGACCAATGACTTCACCAAGAACCCCAACTTGCAAGAGCCATCAGCATCATCTGAGGGGCAGAGGAGATGGCTCAGTGGGTAAAGTAATTGCTCTGTAAGTAGGAGGACTCAGCTGTAATTCCCAGAAGAACCCTCATAAGACCAGGTAGGACAACACAAATCTGTAGGTCCAGGGCTTCGACACTAAGGTGGGAGGCAGAGATAAGAAAATTCTTGGAAGTGAACTGGCCAGTTATCCAACACAAAGCTGAGAACAGTAATGAAACCCTGTCTCAAACAAGGTAAAAGCAAGGACCAACACCCGAGGTTGTCCTCTGACTGCCACACATCCACCATAGCATGGGCATATCTGTACTCGCAGGAACATCATGCACACACACACACACACAAAGTATTTTATTCCTGGAAAATGTAAATGCGTTGCATCATAGAGTTAAAAATATAGCTGCAATCAAAATGAATAAATCTATCTTGGAGTAGTGAAGCATTCCTATGACCCCAGCACTCAGGAGGCATGGCTTCTTGTGGCCCCGGCAGTCACCAAAGCAAGACCCTAATGAGATTTCCCAGGCTTGAAACAAGGAATCAGCTCTACTCCAGCCTCTGTAGCAATGAATAGATTTTGTGACTGCAGAAATGTAGAAGATGAAATGCTGGGTGCTCCAGGCATTCTGTGTCCAGCCAGACAAACATTCCTGACTATTCTCCCTAAGTGTATCACAAAAATTTCACAAGACCCTGTTTATTTCTCCTTTGTCAGGGACTGTGGGGGTGAGAGGCAGGGGACGAATGTTCTTGCCTCACAAACCTGATGCTTTGTTTCTTGATCATTGCATATAAAACCATGGTAAACAAGCAGAAGCAGTGTCTGGAAGAGGAAAAGAAATGGTCTTTGGTGTGAGCCAGGCTTTGTTTTAAACCCTAGCTTTGCTACCTACTTACAATCTGTGTAATCTGGGAACAGATCTTTTAATTCTACTGAGCATCCATCTCCCAACTAGATGAAACACCTCCTTCAAGGACTGAATATAAGTTCTACTGCTCTTATACTCAAGTCCAAACATTGGGCTCCTTCATGAATCCTATACCATGGGTGATCCTGTGCACTGGGTGAAACTAATCCTGATTTCAGTATCAACAGTGATGCCATCGACATTCCTTAACCTAATATGTATCCTTCCTCGTTGAAACAAAATCAAAATGAATGAATGCTTTCTTGGGGAATCCAGCTCATGGGAACCATACTTTGCAGTAAGTCATGGCAACAGGCCACAATGCAGACCTTAGAAAGAAATTTGAGTCTTTATTCAGTTGACTGAAGATACTTATTTATATCAGAGAAGCTTCCAGAGAGACTAAGGCATCAGAGAGTATACTAGTCTGAGACTTTGTACACAAGTTCCAAAGACAGAGGAGCTGATTGGCCTAGAGAAATAGGAGCAGGTATAGGCTTGTGTAGCCTTATGGAGACATACTAGTTATAAAATCCTTTAACAGAACATTATTTGGAGGTGTGTGCATTTCTCTCCTGCACTAGGAGGTACACTGAGATGTTATTTTTGCAAGTTCACTTTTTCAGCTTAACTGTCTTGGTTCCTTTGTTACTGCTGTTACATAATACTCGACAACAGCAACATATGGAAGAAAGTATTTAGTTTTGCTCATAGTTTTTAAGGTAAGGTACATCTCATTGTGGCTGGGAAGCCATGGTGACAGGAGCATGAGGTGGTTGGTGACATGGCACCTAGAGTCAGGAAACAGAGAAGGAGAGAAGCAGGGGCTGTGCTTATCCAGCTTTCTCCCCAGGACCCCAGCTCACGGAATGATACTACCCACACCACCCACAGTCAGAGCTGGTCTTCCAGCTTTAATTCAGCAATGCCTGAAACTCCCTCACAGACATGCAGATTTGTCTTCCAAGTAAGTCTAGATCCCATCAAGTGGACAATCTATATTAACCAGCATAGCACCTCACAGACATGCATTCTTATCTCTCATTCCATGGCTTTTATATATAAGGAGCTTTCATCTCAAGGTCATGTAGTCAAAAAAGCCACTTGAGGTCTTGAGCCTCCAGAGCTGTCTGATTATAACTGTTCTAATTCCACTAGACTTGCTAAGCCTTAGAAGTATGGATATGAAGTACAGTAAATAAATACCCAGTTAAGCTTGCTTCTCAGATAAACAATAAATAATTTTTGTATAAATATACCCACACATTTTCAGGATAAGTATATCTCAGCTAGTGTACTTTTAAATTTATTTCTTAGCTGTCTTTCATGCCAATTTAGCTGAGCTTCTTGCATTTTATCTGACAGAGCTCCTTAGGATGCTCAGGCGGCATGAACAGATGACAAGCAATGGTATGTCCAAGACTCCCCACTAGCAACTTCCTGGATACATGCCTTTCAGAAGTAGAAATCATGTCTTTCTTACTGAAATATTCTTAGAACCCTAAAGGTAAGACTACCAGACTTACTTTAACAATTTTAGAAGAGCATAGAGCACTGAAAACTATAGAGCTTTTTAGAATGCCTTTCTCCATGAGTCTGACCTAGGTCTAGACACCTCAAGGATGTACAGAGTGAGAGATGCTGATGAGAGCTGGCAGTGGGATGGTCCATGGGCAGATAGTGCTACCTGAGCAAATTGAAATGCACCATGCCTGTCTTGCTCTGCATACTCGTAGGTCTCATTTGGATACCCAAACTCACTGGAACACACCTCTAGGACAGCCACCAGGTTGGTTCCTTCCTTATTCGTGGCATTTTATTCAATCTGTTGACATTGCTGTGATGTGGATTGAAAATCCCATATATTGACTGATAGATATGTGGATGATGAAGTCAAGGCCACAATTCAGGAGTAGGAGAGATGAATTTAATACAGATGCATTTATTTGAACGTTACAGCTATTATTTTGTTATATCCATGAAGTGTAAGAACTGCAATTTTGTAGATATGTCGTTGGGTTTTCCCATAAGCACAGGTCATATTGCTCTCGCTGAAGTCATTCTACCAGAATTATTGCCTATCTACTTATCTGTACCCACTGTATCTCATCTCTCAAGGCTCATGTCAGAACTGGTGATATTCATGAATCTTATCTGATGCTTTCAATGAGATGCAACACTTCTACACTTTACCCCCAAATAATTCCCTAATTTGGCATCAGATTTGGATTCTCACTGTAGGAACTAGGCATTCCCTTCCCTGTTGTATGTATAATGTCTCTTACTATTGCTGGAGATGTAGCATATCATAATGGTTATGAATATAAGCTATGAAGCCCCTACTTCTAGTTCACCATTATTGGCTGTGAGGCATTGAACAAAATGTACAGTGTCTCCAAGCCTCAGTTTCCTTGATTTATAATTAACATTATAACTCTTACAAAAGAAGCTGTTATACAGGCTGAATAACTTAAAAACTATAAGTCACTTAGGACACTATCTATTACAAAATAAGTGTCTGATATGTATCATGTTTTTATTACTACTACTAATGATAGCAATCAGTATTTTAATTTTCAATAGGTACCAAGCACAGAGAAAAAGTTACATACACTATCTAATTTAATTCTTGCAATAGCTTTAAGGGTTGGTTGAACTAGCATTAGCTACTACTGAATTACAGAGTGAACCGGCAAGCAATGGCTGACTAAGGAGCCTATACTTTCAATATCTACTCTCTCAGATTTCCTACCTATTTATTGTTGAATGTGCTCCAAATTAGTAGCTGACATGAATGTCATCATTTTCTTTATTAGTGTAACACATGAATGTTACCAAATCAGAATCTTTGTGATTATGTATAAGAATTTAAACAGGAGAAGTTTGGTGAGATCATGATAGCTAGCCTAACTTAGCTTTTACATTTTCAGAAGTTTTATTTTCTTTTCTCTACATATGTGGTGTGCATGCATGCATGTGTGTGTAGATATTCACAAGGATGTGTATGCATATGTATCCAGGTGCCTGTGCACATGTGTGTGCATGTGTTTGGAGCCTCAAAGTTGACATTAGGTGTCTTGCTTGATCCCTTTCCAATCCTTTATGCATTGAATCACAGATAGTCACTGAATTCAAAATTCATCAACTCTTACCAGTTTAGTTAAGGATCTAGCAGACTTGCCATGCTTTTATGCAGGTTCTGGAGAACCAAACTCCAATGTTCATTTTTCCATGCTGAGTGCTTTATTCACTGAGTTACCTCTCAAACTCTTGTGAGTAGACTTGTATATTCAATAGTATGTCTGTTGCAGGCCTTGGATTTCTTCCTACACCATGAGAACATCTGTACAAATTAATTTGTTGTAGAAGAGACATATGTTCACATCTCTTATCTTTCATTTATTATTTAACATAATTTTTTTAAAGATTAACATATCATTTGACTAACCCCAGCTTGAATGGAGGTAGGAAACAAAATTAAAAGACATCTTACTAGGTACAGAACATGCCATGCAGTGCCCATCGGGGGCCATATTTCTGGTGGCTCTCAAAACATCTTGCACCAGCCAAACCTTTGACATCAAGCAAAATTCCCTTCAGCTGACTGTGTGATCACTGGGATGTATGTCATCATGTCTAGTCTACAAAAGACCTTTGACAGGTAACTTTGCTGATGAATGAGACAGCATCTTTTCTAAAACCCCTAAGGAGGATTTGCATCATCTATAGTTAAGCAACTTAATTAAACACTTCATTCTGTGACCCACCCACCCCCAAGGAAAAGCTTCATAAAGTACTGAATCTTCACAGACCTGCAAAGGGAAAAATCAACACTTACAGAAAATTTGTGTGGCACAGGCAGATTAAGACATGCCAAAAGATAATCCATTTCAGGCTATATCCAGAAAGACCATGGTTTGACCACTTGACCATGGACAGGTTTCTCAAGTTCTGTGGACATCAAAATCTAGACCTATAAATTTGTGACAATCCTTTCCACCCAGATTATGACAGGTGTCAAGTGAAGGCATAGCTGTCCACGTGTGTGGATGACTGGTTTTCACAGACATATCTTTGCTCTGTTAATTTGATTCCCAAAGGGTTGCTCGCATCTGTATTAATAGGACACTGATGAAATAATGGTTCTTTTCCCAAACTTATTTGGCCATCAGCATCCAGTGATTCACATACTTTGCTATTCAATATTGTTGATTTGGTGGGGTTTTCAGCTATCTGAGTAAAAAGATCAGGTGAGAGCTATAAAAGTATGATTACATTGCTTCTGTAACTTCCCGAGCTCAGATGGTTATAGACTGATACAGGGCATTCCCCTTCTAACTATCTACTGCTGTTTTGATTTCTTAAAGCACTAAAAATATCCTGTACTGAATTTATATACATCACCACTTTTATAGCTTTGGGGTCATAATAAAAAACAGTTTGGTGGAAGCTAAGTATTTTGTGTTGTTTGTGAATCTGTGGTTGTTTGGGGGCAGGAAAAAAAGTCAACTGAAAACTACACATTTCTATGGAGCATGTCTGTTTTCTGTGTCCCATCAAATCAATCCACGTTCTTCCAGAATGCCAGACTTTTCTTCCCAAAGAGCTATGGCTAAAATATTGGCCTGCTTAACTGTCAATGATTCCCCAGTTGTCTTGACTGGAAGACTTTATGTCCTTGGTCTGGAATACAAAAATGGCTAGTATCTTGTACCTCACCTACATAAAGGAAAACAACTAATGTGGTCTTCATCTTCTCCAGTACTTATGATGTCAAGTACAATGTGTTTTCTCTTCCCCTCTGCCTGGGTTCTCTAATTCATTGTCACTTATAAATAAAAACACAGTTTTATTTAATTTACTTATCTTTAATACTGGGGATTGAGCTGAGAGGTATTATACATGCTAGAATAACACTGAGCTATGTCCATTGCCTTTTTAAATTTCAGATTGAGATCAGGCCTTGCTAAGTTGCCCAGGCAGGCTTTGAACTTACTTTGTATTGCATACTGTCTTTGAACTTATCTTCTTCTTGCCTTAGCTTCACTTGAATTACTTGAGTACTGTACTGTCCCACCAGGCCTGGATTTAAAAAGAAAACAAAACATAAACAAAGCTGGCAGAATCCAAAGTCAGCTTTCTATCTATCTTTTAACTGGGAGTTTGACTTCCTCCTTTAAGATGGCCATAGTCTTCACGTTCACTAAGTTCTGCCTGTTGATCTTAGTCTTCACTCACAATTCTCCAAACTGAAATCAAAATTTCCCTTAGTTAAGGAAATAGACATGTCCTTTATCCTGCATTGTACCTGTGGCACATTTGTGTGAGGATATTTTATAAAAGAAAAGGACACTATAAGTAAACTAATCAATCCATGCAGGAGTTAAGTGATTTGGCCACTGCCTCATGGAAGTTCTTCCAGATTATTTGAAGTCCACTACAGTGTGCTTTCCAGGAACACTGGAAGGAAGAAGGGACTAGGTGGATGGATGGATGGATGGATGGATGGATGGATGGATGGATGGATGGATGGGTGGATGGATGGATGGGTGGATGGGTGGATGGATGGATGGATGGATGGATGGATACAATGCATGCATACATGGATGTGTATAATCACAGGTAAATACTAAATTTTGACTCAAGGAATAGAAAAAAAAACCCTTTAGGAATAGAATGATCAAAATCCTCTGATTATTAGGTAAATGGCAGCTCTGCTGAGCTGGTATACATAAAAAATCCTCTCTAGTCCTAACCACACTAAGTAAATGATCATCCACTAATCCTTGACAGAGTACCCGAGAAAATTCTAGGGGAAAAATAACATCATTTGATCTCTAGATAACAATAAAATATACTTATCTAAAGTTAAAATTTATTTTTTCTTTTATTGCATGTATTTATTATACATTTCTGCATGTATGTACACAATTATGCACATGCTATAGACATATAGAAATGATATGACAATGTAAAGAAGTAGATTCTCTCCTTTAACTTCTTGGAAGTTGAACTCAGGCTTGTCATCAGGCTTGGTGATAACAATGTACTGATGGAGCCATCTTACTGGCCTGATGGTTAGACTTTTAATCTGGGTCCTGTTCTCCACTATTATGTCCTCTTGCAAAGTGAGTTATTTCCCTTCTGTTTCCCTCCCATTCAGACCCTAAAACCACTTCCTTTAACATAATAATCTCCAAAGACAGATATAACTGGTGGTTTAAACTATAATGTGTCCATTGGCTCCGAAGGTACATAACACTATCACAGCTCAAGAAAATACCAACCTAGGCATTTCTCATATGGTTGGGTGATTGGCAAGTGAGTGTAGGGACCCGGATAGAAAATATCCAAAGATAATGCTGACAACCACAGTAGGAAATCCATGTGGACCATTCTGATTTCTATGAAGTTCCTTGCCTATGTTTAGTTCCTTTGTCTAATAAGTTTAGACAAAGTTGCAACCCGGACCCCATACAAAGATACCCCCACAAAAGACTGCTGGCAATGGTCGAGAGACAGCCGGGACTGACCTACTCTGGTGATGGGATGGCCAAACACCCTAATAGTTG